ATCAGCCACCTGGGGACATAAAGTAGCAAAGCACGTGGGCACACAGGAAACAATCTACCTGTGAACAACAAACTGCCCTTACAACGTCACTCTTCAACAAGTCCCCTCACATAAGTCCAGGCAATACAAGGCAATCTCAAATTATTGCAGAGTCAATATGGTGCCATATTCTTTTCTCTTTTCAGAGAGAATACCATATTAAGGCCAACACTTTGGTTGGTGTGCTAGGGGCTGTACCTCAAATAGTTGGCAGGGCCAAGATAAAAACTACATTTGATTTAATTGACTAAATATAATTAATTTAATTAAATCTAATTAATATTATTTTCCTCAGCTGTCAAAATAAACCCTATGCTTTGATGGCAACTTCTGGAGGACCTCTGAGACTTTCAGAAGCACATACATTCCTGGAGCTACAAACTATGTACCTCTGCTGCATGGATATTGTAACTGCATCCATCTTGAATTTTACTCAGCTTGTTGTTGTATTTTACTAAATACTCTAGTATTTAGACTGAATCTGGACAAACGAACTGTCCCATGCATTTCCTGTTCAGTAGAATGTGGATCAGTGAAGTTTCACATTTTGCTGAATTGTGATACATCCATTCCTTCATCACAGCAAATTTCAGAATTATAGTCCTAATATGGCAGCTACCATAACTTCAAGAATGGCTTGTGATCCACCAACATCTTTTAACTCAGCCTGCTCCAAGCTGGCATCTTTCAGATATGCTGGGACTACAATTCCCAGTATTCCCAGCCAACATGGCCAAATCCTATATGCAGCAATCTCAACAAACGTGGAAGACACAGATGGAGAAAGGCTTTTTCAACTGCTTGTGAAGTTCTCACAATCTTGAGAACGAATAATGAGAATTCAGTCTCAACTCTATAATGAAAAAGAACAGAGGGTGCAAATAATTTATTTGTTCCTATTGATCTTCAGATGCTCCAAGGATATAGCGGGGAAGATGTACAGTATTAAGAAAATGCTGAACTGTGCAAAAGCCACAACACATAGAGAGAGAAAGAATTATATTTTAAATACCAAGATCTAAAATACCTAAAGACCAAATGCAGTATTTTTCGTTCCCATATTCCAATTTCTGCTTTTTGTTCAGCTCTCAGTCTTTGAGTAAAAGAATCTACATTTAAGCCAGAATATTACTATGTGCAATCAGCCTCTAAATAATTTAAGAAATTGCACCTGAATCAAGAATTCAAAAAACTTATTAGTTGAATTTCTATTTTGTTTGAATTCTAGCAACACCTTCAAGTTCGAATAGCATGTAATAGATAAGAAATACATAACCTCTCCATCACTGTCCCTGGCATCATCTTATCATACCCTCAAAACAGTCTCCAGTATTATTAGTCTGGCCTGATTTATACATAATACACAATGTCAGCTTTATCTTCTTGGCTCAATGTGTAATGTTATACCCTTGTTACCACTTCACTTATCTGTAATAAATATAAATGAAAGAATACCCTGACCCACTTCTTTACCTGTGTGTAATGATGGATCAAGGCACTACTGGTCATGCTTCCACGGAAGTAGCAAGGAGTTATCACGAGAGCAGCATCAGCACCCTTGTCAGCCATTTGTTTTGTTTTCTCAATGGTGCAGTGAGTTGCTAAGGGAAGAAACATAAATGGCATAAAAGTCAGGTTTTATGAGGCTTAAGGGTCAAAGGACAGATCTTGTGAAATTAGGAGTCTCTGGAGGGCCAAATGAAGCACCAGAAACAGACTCCTCGTATAGGGTATGGTCAGCTAGAGGCCAACTCCTCTAGCCCACCTTTTTTATTGCTCACATTCACATCCTGACCCAACAAGCAGCAGCTTTTCCTTAGGCACAGCTTGGCGCACCCGCATCACTACTTCCAGGCATTCCTCCCGTGTCAAATAGGGAGCTTCCCCATTGGAACCATGTACTACAAAACCTAAAGAAATAAGAAGATAGCACTGAGTACCTATTTAGTTTCTATCATGCCATATATCCCACTGATGCTATGGTTTTATTTTAAGTTTGCATATGATGTTTTTAAACTAAAAGTCTCCAAAGCAACATACTGTCATCAATCAATTAAATAATTAACACTATAAAACTGTAAGATGAACAAATATTAATAAAATAGAAAAAACAGCAGACATTAAGAAACTAGTAGTCTATAACACAACAGTAAGCAAGCCAAATGAGTCAAGGTCTGGTGAATGAATGTGTCTTAATCTTGCACCTAAAAGACAGCAGAAGTGTTATACAAATCTGTTTTGGGAATGCATTCCAAAGTAAGGAGGCAACCATTTAAAAGTCTCTAGATCTCAGCTACCACTCATCTCATCTCTGGAAGCAGATACACAGAGAAGAGCTTACGAAGAAGACATTTAAAATACTGAATTTTAAAATACCGTCTTCATGTGGAAGAAAGCTGTCTTTTATACTCTGGTCCCAGGTTGTTTATGGTTCTAAAAGTCACAACCCATATTTTGAATTGTGTTTGGAATACCTAGTAGCATATAAGAGGGATATATGTTCCAGATGAATGTTGAGGTAAGAGGCTCCCTAGATACTGTTGAACTCCAACTTCTATTAATTCCAGCCTTATGGGTAATGAGCCAGACTGATGGCAATTGTCATCTAATAATAAGATCTAGAGAAACACATCTCTTGCACCTTCAGTCTAGCTGCCATGTTTTGACTCTGTTTTCCAGTAGTCTCCAAAGGAAGCTTCATATATATTACATTGCAAAAGCCTGGTCTAAATGTTACCAACACATGATAGTTACATGACATGCAGAAATCCAATAAGTTAGGCTACAAACACTAAGATAGTGTAGTCTAGTGGTGAAGGCAACAACTGAACTGGGAAGACTCAGGTTGAAATCCCAACTGGAACACAGAGCTCAGTAGGAGACTCTGTTATACTTTTGCTGCCCAAGCTACCTCACAACTTGTGGGGATAAAATGAGAGATTTCCATTTATTCCCCCTAGTGTTCCCAAAGGAAAGATAAGGAATAAAATACACAAATAAATAAAATACAATAATAAATATGTTGAATTTCTGTTTGACATTTATAGGATTGTTAGCCATATGGTCCCTTCCAGGAAAAGACAATAGCTTTATCCTGAGAGCAGATGAACTAAGAGCTTTAGGAAAGAATATACAGACTTAGGAAGAAGTACACAAGCTGTCATTGGTAGCAGTAGGATTATCTGCTAGTTAACATCAGTAGAACATTACTCAGGGACAGGAAAAATGTGCTATCCAATGCATGTTCCTCCACCTTTCCATCTACAGTAGGCTAGGTCCAAAGTCTGGATGGGCAACTATGTGTGACCTTGAAGACAAAGTTAGTAATTGGGCTGTGCTTCTCCTTTCCTACTCAGTTGAAAGGGCCAACAAAGTAAGAAGGTTTGGTTTTCTTTTTACCTAATCTTTCTTTAACAACCAAAACTGGAAAAAATGAGGTGCTAATTCTAGATAATATTCAGCCATAACAGGTGTCTGCCTTCCTGCTACAACTGACCGGTGGTACTTTCTCTACAGTGAAACATGTTTGCTTACCTCCTGAAGAACTGAATATTTTCCTTGCCAGAGCTTCTGCACTTTTAACAGAAGTCTGTCCAGAGGGCGTGAGACACATTCAGCATTTATGAATAAGTTCACATATCATGGTTTATTTAACTAGGATTTACTGAATAAATCACAACTAGTTGGGCTCATAACCACAATGTCTGAGTTCACACAACATGTTATATACAGTCACACAAAGGCTTAATGTGGTAGTGAACTCAGTCTGTCTGTCCATATTCAGTTAGCTGTGAAAGAAAGAAGAGTATGCTGGCTCACTGATTTAGGTGGCAAAAGGAAGCATACTGGAAACTTCGATCTCTCTCTCTCTCTCTCTCGCCAAAAAGAATACGCCGGGTTCACACGACATATTAAGCCACAAGCTAGACAACCAACTAGTTTCACACAAACTTGGCCATGGGTGCAGCAAGTAAGTCACAGTAGCACCCAAGCCAGAATGACCCGAGGCGGATCTCGTCTCTGACAGACCCCTTACGCAAGAAGGAACCCACGTGTCTTTCTCCCCTCAAGAGTGCCGACCCTACCTCGGAAGGGAATCTCGGTGTAGAGGCGCAGATTCTCCTGCAACCGGGCATAATCTACACGACCTTGGGACGTGAAAGGGGTGACGAGAGGCGGATAGATACCCCGCAGGTCTAGGCGGCGAGTAGGTGCCGCCGCAGCCGCGAACCTTCGGGGAGCATCTACCGCCGCGGCCCGCGCGGGGCTCGAGCGAGGGGCCCGCGGCCAAAGCGCGCACAGAAAGCGTGGGGCCACAGTCGCCGCCCTGGCCATCCTGCTGTTGCCTGCTGCGAGTGCCGCGCGGCCCGGGACCGCCAGATCCCTTGAAGAAGGCGGGGAAAGGGTCTACCGAGACCGCCCGCGGGGAGGGGAGTCAGGCCACACAGTTCAGTTCAGACGCACGGCTGGTTGAACTCCTTTGGGACACCTGAACGGAGAAAGCAGGCGCCTCTTCACTTCGCCCCTCCCTTCGGTTCCTTCAGAAGTTTTCGCACGCTGAGCGAGCGTCCTCTCTCTCCTTTGTAGCCTGGTCCTATAGGGAAGTATGCCAAACTCCCTCTGAGGCTAGAGGTTGCTTATTTATGAGTTTATAAAGTAAAGGCTTCAGTCAAGGCTATTCTAAGCAGTGTACAAAAGAAAGTATTTAAGGGTTGAGCTTGCTAAAATCCATGAAAAAGATATGGGGTGGGGGGAGAAGAAAGCGGAGGGGGGGGGGAAGCCAGAGGTGGTGGGAAAAACAGAACAGGAGCCTTGCATGACAGGTCCCAACACCAGTATGAAGAACCATGGCAGGCAAAAAAGAGCAAAATGGCAATTATGCTGTCTGGATCATAAAATCGACTAAGTCACAATATGGTTTATTTGATTTTGCCTCTGCAAATATGCACTTAGCTAAATTGGCTTAGACAAATGTGGCTGATTCAGTAATCCAGGGTTAAGCAGAGGTTGCTGAGAGAATGGGTTTACTTGGTTTGATATAAATTAGGCTTTCTACGGCCTTTTCCCACTACAGAGTAGAAACATCTGCCCATCCTTGAGCCTGTTTGTTTATTTATGGGATTTATAGGCTGCTCCAGTTTGACACTACTCTGAGCAACCTATAAATTCCATTAATAAAGAAATAGCACTGGCATCTGTTGGCTGTTTCAAATAACTTCAGTCACTTGAAACCACCCCCCGCCCCCGGCCAGGTAAGTAGTGACAAAGCCTAACAGATTTTATAAATTTTGAGGTTGCTCTTGGGTACTGTAGACTTTTCCCCCTTTGCACCTAACCATGACCCAAACATGCCCTGGCAACATCTTTTGGGGGCATTTCTCATGATACTGTCTTCCACTTGCCCTTAGCCCTTCAGTGAGAGATGCTTAAGGGTCCCTTAGCATTACCAGTGTTATAGTAGTACTTTCCTTATCCCGACACCATCCAGGTTTAGGCAATGCAGTTAGCCATAGAAAAACTGCATCAGAGTTGAAAGTGCTGACTAGAAAGGGAGATGGCAGAGTTTGCATTCCCCTTATTCAGTTTTATGTGTCTTGTTCACATGCTTCTCTTACATCACTCCTGAAGAGTGTGTGCTGCTCTTAATGGGCATAAAATAGTAACAGAGTGTTATTTTGCATGCTGAATAACAGATCTGATCTCCATTTGTTAAGCCAATTTGGCCTTGGTTGCCCCGTTCACCCAGAATACATCTTATGCAATACTGGAGAGGACATTTATGCCAAAGACAGAGTTTGTCCTCTGTCCTCAAGTGAATTCTTCTTAAGTGAATATACAACTTGGGAAGAAAGGCCAACAGACAAGCTAATGACGGCCATCCGATTGATGCCTGGGTTCACACTCTGAAAAGATTGCGATGGGTTGCCCAGGTTGTCAAACTTTGCAATTCCATGAAATGAATTTGTGTAGACACCTCCTTTCCCATGAATGAAACAAATATTTAGTGTGTTCATTGCTATGATTGGTAGATAATTTGGACAGATTACTAGATCCATGATACATTTTTCTTTAGTACTCCCTTTTAAATTTTACATTGTCTTTTTGTTTACCTTCTAGCTTATGTTTTTCATCTTTAGTGTTTTGGGTCTAGTTGACTATGGGATGGAGTATTGTGTGTTTTTTACATGATTTGTAACCCTATTGTAATCAGCATTGATATTATTTCTGACCATAGAAATTAGCCAATTTGTACTGCCTTCACATTCTCAATGTATTGTCAGTGTCTGTTTTGTGCAATTTTGCAATTGTTACCCTCATTACATGTTGCATTTTCTTCTTGTACTCCCTGCATTTTTAACATTGATATATAGGGGGGTTTTGTGCACCTTCCCTCATTAATCTTTCTTTTAATACAAGAGTCATGCAGCTACTTATTCTGTGTTATTGTCAGTTTATATGTAATAGTGATGTTTTGTCATTATTTTACTGGTTTTTTTGTGTCTACTCTTCATTGTTTTATATTATTTCCTTTTTTAAGCTTTGTGGATGTTTCCCTATCCCCTTATACAATTCTCCTTTTGTAATCTCTTTGTACATAGTTCTAATTTGCTTACATTATTTAATGGGCATTATAGATGTGTTCTGTTCACACCTGTAATATGTTTAATATTATTTCATCTATTTTTTTCAATTCCCTGATTAAGAGGTATCTGTTCAAAATGTGTTGGGGCCCAGTTTTAATAAAGTTTCCTTTACATCGGGCTTGCAAAGGCAAAAATTGTGGAGAAATAGTTCTTTTACACTTCCTTTACGGAATGGCTTTTCCTCTGCTGCTGTAGCCACTGAATTGCTGATCTTATATTTTTTCTGGAAGCTTGAAGCAGATCTGCTCTACGCTCAGAAGGGCTGTTGCTTCTCAAGCTGTGAATTCTCTCCTGCTATTCACTACTTGGTCAGTTATAGGAGAAGATGCACGTGTACTCTAGGCGAGTGCTTGGTTATCTGTACCTACAAATGTCCCAGTGCAATTCCATTTGAATTGTGTTATATCTTGGAATAGTTTGTTATCATGCAGCTGTTTGAAACATATGGGAATTATCAATAGCTTAGTGCAATTTGACCCAGTGGATATCAGAACTGCAGTTGTTTACCAGGCTTTTAACAGCTGTGTGACAAGCAGAAATTTCACAATGCCTGTTTGATAAAAATGGAAAGTTCTCAGGTAATGAATTTAATCTCATCATGCAGCTGCCAAAGGTAAAGCTGCATTATGGCTAACTACAAAGAACACTAGAAATAGCTGTTTTTTTCACTGTTTTCCTGGTCTTGTTTTACTTTGATTGCCTCTTTATTGGGTTTTGGTGACCCTGCTTGTTTAAATCCCAAACCATCCTTGCTTGGAATTGCAGGTGTTTGCTTTGTTCATCCATCTATGTCTCATGTTGCCATTTCTGTTGTGCTTGGCTCTTTCTTTTCCAGCACCTCCCGTGTGTCTGCTTGCCATAACTGCACCAGATCTGTAGGAGTTTTGCCAGCCTGTATAGGAGAAACAGAAATAAGGACGTTTAAGAAGTTCCAAACTGACATGAAAAGCTTCCATTGCCTCAAAACTTGCATATACATGTTCTGATTTATTGAATGCTAGTGGAGAGCATCTGGAAAAGAAACCACTTTTTTTTTTTTTTTGCTGCTGCTGCTGCTGCTGCTTCTGCTGCTATTGATTTATCTGCAAATGTTACCCACCGTATAAGCCACAACAGGTCAGCACTTACCAGATTTTTGGCCAACATATCTGCCCCATGTAAAATCAACATCTTAATTATCTTGTAGCGATTGAGGCGTACAGCATCATGCAGTGCACTGTCTCCTTCCTGCAGTAGAGAGACGACAATACCACACTGCCTAAGTCCACATATAATGCCAATATTTTTAACCATGGTTGGTGAATACTCTAGTGACTTGTTCATAGATAATGCTAATTAATTATGCTAATTAATTATGATGTTATGCTGTCAAAAGCAAACAAACTGCACAATGACTGTTATGTGGGAAATAAACCTATGTGTAAGACTAGTAGTCAACAAGAATTTGCTTATGGTACTAAAATAGGAGAAGCTGTAGCAGCCAGATACAGTAAGCAGCCAGATAAGCAACACGCTTTAAAAATTACCCTGGACCCACTGAATATGGCTTTCTGAGTCAGCTATAACAAGAAATGAGCAAATGCTGCAAACGTTAGTCAGTTGAATAATTTATTTCTGTCTGTCATAGATAAGATTGCAGTTTTGCCATTATGATAGGTGGAAAATGTTAGCACCAGAAATCAGAAAGTAGAAATACAGAGTATTTTATTTTGTGTTTTGTAGGCTAAAAATTACTAAGGCAATATGAAACAGTTGGAATAGAGAACTACCTGACTAGTTTGAAAAGAAAAAGAAGCACATTAGGATTGGAACCTGAAATTAAATCTCAAAAGGAAGATGTTTAAATCCTAAAATCATATGACATCTTCCTCAAGCTTAGTTTCCCCTTCATTCTGTTTCATTTATTAGTATGTGTGCAAATATTTGCATGAACTTGTATTACATTTATGTTCTGCCCTTGCTGCAAGGAAATCAAGGCAGTATGATTCTTACAAAATACTCTGCACATGTATAACTGTGGTCATAAAAAAGTGGATTGAGATGTGAGTTACATGTTAAATAGACAAGCAGTCAGAAAAAAATATCTCTTACACGGTCACGTGAATTGATTTTCACTCCATTGTTTATCAGGTACTCCACAACTTCTGCTACACCAGTGCGAGTGGCCACATGTAAAGGAGTACTGAGAAGCTGAGTTCAAACCGGTGATGAAGAAATGTAAAAAACAAAAGCAGAAAAGGATAAATATGATTCCCTGTCATCTATTTTTTTCTTGAAAGGGATGAAGGTAGTTAACTAATGTGAGAGTAAGCATGACGTAATAGTAAAATGTTGGACTAGCAACAGAGGCTCAGGTTCTGGTTTCTCCTCAGCCATGGAAGCTCTCTGGTTGTCTTTGATGATGGCCAGTCATTCTCTCAGCCCAACCCACTGCAGTGGGGGTGAGAGGAGGCAGGCCTTATATTTAAGGTGCTGGCCTAGAAACCAGGAGACTGTGAGTTCTAGGCCTCTCTTAGACATGAAAGCCGGCTGGGTGACTTTGGGCCAGTCACGCTCTCTCAGCCCAACCCACCTCACAGGGTTGTTGTGGGGAAAAATAGGAAGCAGAAGTATTATGTATGTTCACCACCTTGAGTTATATCTATATTTAAAAAGGCAGGATAAAAATATAACAACAACAACAACAACTGCCTATCCCAGGTCCTTGGGAAGGACTCGATAGGTGGATAAAAATGCCAATTCCAGTCTAAACATCTGGTTGACTGTGCAACAACATAATAATAATAGGTTTAGATGTAAGTGCATCCCAAATAAAATACTAGGTTCAGAATACCTTATTTTTCAATTCTTCTAGAGAGCATAGTTTAGTCCTGAAACCTGAAAGTAGGGAAGTGAAGCTTTGTCTCTTCACTTGTGACTGATTTACTTGGAACAGCTCTCCAAAAAGAGGACATTCTGGACAGAACTAATTTAATCACAGTTAATGTAATTATCATGCATTTGATAAGTTTCTTCTTTTGTCACATGAAATATTACAGTTGGGTGCCAAGTTTTGGAGACAATCTAAGGGATCATCTAATGCTTTGAGAGAGCTGCTGGTTATGTACCCTGTCTTAACATTAGCATCTTCCTATTTCCTTAGGACTTTTTCCAAATTTCCCACATGACACTGATTTCTCTCCTTGAACCAAGTTTCCACCTCTCAGCTCACCTTGTCCTTCAGGTTTAGATTGGCCCCTTTTTCCTGCAAGAGTTTCACAACAGCCAGGTGTCCACCACGACAGGCCCAGTGCATGGCTGTGGAATCCAACTGTCAGCAAAAAACAGGAAACAACTGTTCCAGTCTCCTTCCATAGCCATTCCCAATCTTCTTTGGGGTCCCCTTTTTGATTCCAAGCAATTATAACTCTCAGCCCAAGACAAATTAACAAATAGGTCTGAGTGCAATTTTGTATCCAGAGCACCCCATATATATTTCCACTGTACTTTAGAGAGGAATTTGGTGGCACTTAGAGATAAATAGACCTTGGTGGGGAATAATGGAAATCTCAGTAGGCACAGAGAAGTATCTTACGCGATCTCTGAAGTTAATAGTGGCACCTTGGTCCAAAAGCTTCTCTACAATTTCTGTGTGCCCCTCCAGGGAGGCACGGTGCAAAGCTGTCCTGCAGAACTAAGTAAGGGACAGAATTAGTCTTCTTTAAATGGTTGGCTAAAAAGAGAAAAGGCTATGTCCAAAAGATGATTTTCTAACATTCATGGGCTTCTTCCTTTTTAAAAATCCTTGCCAACACCAGATTTCCCATAGCTGCCCATACCAAATCCAATATTCATGAATCCTCCATGTGCTGATTTAAACTAAATTTCCTCCTCCCCCCGCCCCCATATTTTTGTAGGGACATGCTCAAAAGAGCAGATGTACTATTGGAATAATGTTTCTATTTTCCAATCATATTTACTGTTGAGGTGGACATGATCAAGTATACTTGAAATCGGAGATTTTAAATCCAGAAGTGATCCATGAGCTACTCATCTACTCCTCCTAACTATGGATATTTTTTCTTATGCATTTCTTTCAAAAGAAAAAAAATAACTAATTTCTCAATTTTGGGGCAACTTATTTCAACTTTAACATTGCTTTTATTAGTGAACAAGAGCCTTTTCACCCACTGGAATCTGTATAGATTTAAAAACAGATTGTTTCCAATAAAATCCCCTCAATAAGAGGTTTACATATTGAGTTATACTTGCAGTAACAGAAGCAGCAAAGAACACCCTATGCCAAGCATGGGATTGACATAATCCTGCTCAATCAACAAACATTTTAATGTATAGCTCCATGGAAAGTGAAAAATGGTCCTGAGGAAAAAACACTCGCATGGTCTTACTTCATCACAGGTGTCTGGGGAGCCTCCATCTGCCAGGAACTTGTCCACTACTTGTACCTTGCCCTGCACAGCAGCTTTCAAAAAATCCTCTGCTGCCACAGGCCCTGTCTTGTAAGCATATAAAGAAAGGATGACAATATTTTAACTTTTATATGAAGGGTATTTCAAAAGTAAAAAGAAAAAGGAAATAATTAC